AACGGACCGGGCAGAAAGCAGCATAAAGAAAAGGCCCAAAGAGAAAAGCCAGATGAAAAACTGGGAGCTCGGGAGTCTGGGCGCAGTTTCTGGTGCTTTTTCGCATACCTGAGGTGGCTACCAAAAGTTGACAATTTCTTTTCAGTTAGCCGTGACTCCTGAAATTAGTTTTGACTTAAATATGCAAACTTCCAAATGAAATGGAATGGAAATTGGGCAAGAGGCAGAAGCGGAGGGTAATAAAGGAAAAGTTCGGTTTAAAGGGAAATTGCCTGGAAGAAACTGGCAGCTAAAGGAAATACAACAATTTATAAATGTGTGGTAAGGAAAAGTTAAAGAATGCAAAAGAAAAATGCTTGGTAAAAAATTATTTTTGTAAGATTCTATTTAAATAACTGATTTTAGTATTTATATTAAAGTCTAAGTAAGTATTTCAATATAATTCTTCTTATTTCCTTGGTTCTTCTTAGTATTAGGGTATTTAAATGACTCCCATCAATCTCTACATAAACTAAAACCAAAACAGACATCATTGATGTCATCCTATCATTTTTCTTGACTTTCGCTCAGCACTTGGCATCCAATTCCCCCACATCGTTGGAGGCCAAATCAACTACAATTCATCACCGACTGGATGACATAAAAGCACTCTGCTACAGTCACCGGCAACTGCTAATGCCCCTCCCCTTTCTGCGGAAAATTTCCCTTGAAGCGAACTTCGGTCTGCATAATTAATGAATTTACACATGCATAATTATAATTACTGGCAGCCGGCAGCGACTAACTGCCAACTAACATCGCTTAGGGATAAGCAGGGGGCGTGGCGCATGATGAAGTCGGATTGCTCGGAGGAAACAACAACAATTACAAAAAACAACAAGAGCAACTTCATTGAAAATTCAAACCAATTGGCAATTTGTGAGCCGGCTTTTTGTACACAAAACCCCAAGCCCCTTTTTTGCAATGACTCCCCCGACCGATTTGGACCATGTTAATTAGCTGCCGGTTGAGCAGAGCAGCGTGGGTCTGGTTTTAAAGGGCGTGTAACTGTACAAAACTGCAATGAATTTGATAAAATAGGGCCCAGACAAACAACAACGGAAACAGAGGAACCGGAAGAGATACACTGTAACAATTAGTTCCATTCCGAGCTTAACTTTTATTGAAATTAAATATTTATTTTTTATAGCATTTTAGGTAAGAAACGTGAATTTAGCTTACTTGTTTAGACCATTTTAAAGGTTTTTTTTGTGATAAAAAATATTATTTTACATTAAAATATTATTTTTAGTAAACGAAAAGTTTTGTCTGTAATTGGCTATAAAGTAGGAACATTACTTTTACATCTAAGAGCTTTTAGATGGATTTGTTAATTTCAAACATTGATTTCAGTGTAGAAACATTGTACTCAGCCACGCCCCCTTCCGCCCCTTTTTTCGATCTAGCTTGATTACTGAATAATTGAGTGCTGCGTATAATGAAATTCGTATTCAAAATTCGTCGTCATTCAGTTGGCGCCGCTAAATCAGAATCTGACTAAATGTTTGTCGACCCGAGGGGCAGTAGGTGGGGGTGTATATATATATGTATGTATATAGGTATATAGGAGGAGGGGCCATTCAGAGGTGAGTAAGTGCGTTTGTGTGTGCGTTCCTGTGTCTGTGTTTGGTTTGCGTAGCCGACTTGCATACGTAATGTTCTTCCTCCCTTTCAACTGGTTCCCCATCGCCTTGCCACCCTCTGTTGCCATGAAACCCCTTTCAACTGCCACCCCGCCGCACCCCCTGGCCATCATCATCGCAACATCATTCAACGCTTTTATAGCCATTCAACTTGACGCATCCGTTTTGGCCAAACTTTTTGGCCTGGGCCGCAGCTGAATGGGCCACGAGGCCATGAGCCAAGTTCTACGAGCTGCTGTTGCCGCTAACGAGTGGGTGGTTCAAGAGGTATTACTTTACAAAGTGGAATTTCCCTGAAACAAGGTATTGTTTAAGCCAAGTTGATAGACAGATTTCATACTAAATATGTTTTCCTTGATACCAAAATGAACTTCGTATAAAAAGAAAGTTTAAAATTTACCATGTGAGTAAGTTATGATTTATTGGCGCGAATGCCTTATGAAACTTTTGAATTTGTTTTATTATAGATCAACGATTTTTAATTTTTTTTAAATGAAATTTAAAGTAAGCTTATATAGTACATGGTTTAAAAGATGTTGTCTATTTACACATTGCGTATACGTAATATATGTTTTTCATATTAATCACGTATACGCATTGTTAGCAAATTTGGTAAGCCAATTTGGTAAGCCAATTTGGTTAAAGATCAATTAAATAAAATCAAAAATCTAGATAACATTCGCACTTTCTACTCTCTCCAAACTAAAGGAAGTATTTAGTACCTATAAATTCTTTCAAGATTATTATTATTTATTTTGATTAAGACGCCCACAGTTTTTATAGAGAAATGTGGGTTATATTTGCATACTTTATCTATTTTACAATCATCTTAAATTCCACCCTCGCTGGGGTTTAAAAGGGCACCGCTGCACGGTTCTCGGGGCAAGGGAATTGGAATAGGAAGAGAAAGAGGACCAAAACCAGAACCAGAACCAGGAGCGGAACCAGGACAAAACAGAGCAGGCCGGGCTTTATCCACTGAACTCCAAGAGCGACTAACAAGTCGCGTTTGCTTCATTATGTGGCCTCTCCTTCGTATTACCGCGTTTATGTCACTTTTCACTTTCTCACTCGTTGACTGTCTCTTTCTTCCATCTGACCCTCTCTCTCTTTCACACTGGCACCGCTGGCGTGTCATTTGGCTTGGTTCATATAAATTGTTTTGGGATTTAGCCGCACGATTTTCCTGCCCCATCCCCCCCCCTCCGTCATCCTGCCAATCCCCAGACTCGGCTCACAGCTCCGGCTCATTATTGTCGTCGGTTCGTTTCTGTTCTTTGTTTAATGACATCATTCTGTATGAAAAATTGTAGTTGCATACAGAATGGCAGGCGGAAGGGGGCGGAAGTAGGATGGCAGAAGGATAGGGTCGGGTAAGCCCTGACAAAATTATAAAGTTGAGCAATGATTAATGTCCGTACTCCTTCCCTGGCTTCCTATCACGCATATATCGCCTGCGTAATAATCCCTGTCATGAAATATTTCGGCGGGGACATGAAAACTGCTTCATAAAATAAAAAAAGGACGGAAAAAAGAGACAAATAAAAAGTTCTTAATTTTTATATTTCTTGACTTCAAATCCGGAGTCACGTTTCTCAAAGGAAAACGCATGAAAGCAAAGGCGAATTGCGGGGAAAAACGAGATTCAAGCAACTCGGGAATCACAAATTAAATGTGTTGACAGCTTTGAAAGAACCGAGAAGTTAAACATGTTAGCAAAATTTGTCTACAATGTGACTTGTTTTTTGGAAAACCAATGAAGCGAAAGAAAATCAAAGAGCTCTTACAATTTTTCGTGCATTTGTTTGATGTTTTAATTAGGAGCTATGGCTTTTGGTGAAATTGATTTATAAAATGTAGAGAATGGCTTTAATATATAAACAAGATAAAATGTTAGCCATCAAAATGAGATACGAAACTTAAATTTACAATCTCCATATTAATCAAACACCACGGCTCGGAATTATTTAAAGTATCTTTCTCCCTTACCATTTAAATCCTTAATTGTGATTGCCTTTGTAAGCACGTACTAAAACCCGTTCGCGGTTATATTCTGACTCTTTAATAAAGATATGAATCCTAAGGCATTACCACAAAATGGTAATGACGACGATGATGATGAGGAAGGGCTCTAACCGCACACATCTTATACGAGCCATTCCTCAAATTTGACTGACAATAAAAGTGAATAGTCCCGACCCGGCCTGAAAATTCTATAGTTTCCTTTTTGTAAAATCCCCGGCACACATTGGACAGGACTCTCGGCCAATATTTGCTTGAAGGCGTGCAAACAGGGTGCCGCGTGCATTGTGTGCACATTAAATACCGCATAAATTAAATTAATTGCTAAAGTTTATTTTTTATTACCCTAACGAGGCGAACAGCCGGAAAGAGACGGCGAGTGTGTAATCACTTTCCATTATGTACCAATCTTGGCACAGTCTCGGCAAAAAGTTTTCAACACTTAGCTATTCAAGGGAAGGGAACTTTCCGTCGGATGGAGTGCGGCATCTTGCGGTGGCACATTTAAAATTTAAATGGCTTCAAAGTGAGCCTTTGCCTATACAGCCTTTTGTAACCTTCAACACAACCTTTCCCATTCCTATTAATGAGTGGCAATCCTGGGATAACCGCAAACGTGTAACGGTAAAATACAAATGTCAAAATCTTCAGCAGCTGTCAGTTGCCCCAAGTTGTAATAATGGGTTTATGTGAAGTCAATTTCTCAAAATTGTATTTGCAAAATAGGAGAAAATGCGTTTGGCAGTAATTTATTAGGTGTGAAAAAGAAAGTGACAGCCCTTAAATTAGGCAACACGTATTAAAGAATTTATGAATTTTACTGTATAAACTGCGTAGATAAAAACTGTTTTGTTTTCTCCGGAATTTCCATGGAAATCCCAGTAAAAGTGAAATTTCCCCAGCCTGCAGTCGAATTAATTGTTCCCTTGGTGAAATGAGGCAGAGCAACAAACATCTAACTGTCTTTTTGGCAACTTTACTCTCCCACTGGGTGCAATTAAAAATTATGTTTATATTTATTTTCCACTCCCTTCTCGGCCAACCATTCTTCTGAAATGACACTCGAAAAAAAGTCGAAAAAACCAACTACCGAAAGGAAACCGAAATGAAAAATACAATATGGACGTCAATGTTGACAGCAGACATGGCAGAATGTTTGTTTTCCTCTGGCTTACAGAAAAGCGGAAAAGGGCTCAATACGGTTTTAAGGTAACAGCTTACACGAAATACCCTTAATCGGAAAAGAGTAATTATGATTTCGGAAATTGTAAGAAAAATAAAATTAATTTTGCTCACCATTAAAGGAGTGCGGAATTAGCTTAGACAACAGGTTGCCAGTCCATAGGAGCTAAAATAAAAAGAAAATTTTAATGTTTTAAATGGACAATTCAATGATGAAATAAAACCTTGTATGAAAACCAAAATGTATTTTTTTGTTGCTCTTTTTTGCCATTTAAGCTTTTAAACCAGTTGATTCCAATCCACCAATCATTGTCAATCAGCAAATCTGTATAAATCGCATTACATTTCCCTTATAGCATATAATAACATAAAACTTTGGTTTCGGTCAAAGGGTCTGTTAAGTTTTTAATTCGAAATGCTTTTGTTTTCACTTTTTTTGTTCGTATTTGTTGCTTTCCAGCGAAAAATCGCCAACTACATGAAAAACGCATAAGCCCAGTTCCCCCTTCTCAGTTTTTGCCCTTGGTCTGCGTCCCGCTCGAGCTCCTTAGTCTTCATTGTTGCTATTGTTCTTCCTGCTGGCCATGCGCTTTATTTGCCCAGAGGAAGCGAGACAGGGAAAGCGCGAGAGCGAGACAGACGATGCGGGACAGCGGCGACGACACCAAAATGCATTTATACGAGGCATCGGCTGCAGATGCGAAAACATCAGCAAACAAAAAATAAAAAAAAATAAAAGAAAAGAAGTACTGGAAAAACAAAACAGAAAGCGAAACAAAAACAGAAAGGGATCTCGCAAAAAGACCGAAATACAATGCGAATGTTTGGTTTGCGGGCTTTCGGGAGACGACTGTGCAATATTCATGGTGTCTACGGAGTTCTATAAGCCGCGCTTTATAACTCATATGGGCTTGTTATGTGCCATGTTATCGTCTTATTGTTGTTGTACGCATTTGTCTTGATACTCAGCATGTTTTTTGTAGCCTTATTTGGTTTTTTTTTAAATATGGAAGTTCACCCAGGGTATCAACAGGGGTATGCAAGATTATTTGTAGCCCAAAGCAAAATAAAAAACATATAATGAAAGCTCATATGTAATTACCATTTTCTCAATATTTAATATGGATGTAAAAATAAATGGTATTTTTTTAATAATATGGTATTAAATTAGTAAAATTCTAAAAAACTTTATAAGTATAGATCAGGGGCGGACGCAGGGGGTGTCCGGGGGTCCGGACCCCCCCAAAATCTCAGACTTTTTCAAATTCCCTTACAGCACACGGCCTTTCAACCATATAAACTAAAAATTTTTTGACCGGACCCCCCCAAACGAAAAAATTTTTCGACCGGACCCCCCAAAATTTTTTCTGCGTCCGCCCCTGGTATAGATCGATAAACTGACTACCAAAAGTTAACCAAAAAATTGTTTTATCTAAAATGAAATCTTTATGAGCTGATTGTAGCATTATAACTACCTGTTATTTGAGCTGTTAAATTTTATCATCTTCAGAAACCCTTTGCAAATCGATAATCACTACCTTCTCAGCTTTGCCTCTTCGCTCGACAAACGATCCAATGCCATCTAACGACCGATTGATCACCTCTTTCGCACAGCGGGGCAATGTCCAGTCCATCTATGGTTCGGGTCCGCCTCCTTTTCGAGGAGTGGGCGGCAGGGAGGAGGGGGAGAGGGAGGAGGAGCAGAACGGGAGCGGAGCAGACAGGGAAAAATGCTGTTAAACAAGTTTCGGGCTTTTCAGTTCTCGGATTTTTTTCCTCGAAGCCTGCAGCCTGACGAGTGCGTGCCTTATGCCCAGCATGGGAATGAGAATTGGTTTTAACGTTTTCTCCTCTTTTTTCGCCACTTTTTTACCATTTTTTTTACCATTTTTTTTGCAGTTCTGTCTGGAAGTGAACGAAGTGCGGAGGCACTTAATAAGCAAAGTGTTTGCCCTGCATCGGCAACAGAAACTCGTTTGGGCAACACTCCTGACAACTTGTATACTGCCGCCTTATCGATATTACTAAATTAAAACTCCGAAAGCCAAGTAAATACATATATATACATTGTAGGCAGGTTGATACGAAACTTGTCATCAGCATAAGAAGGTGGCAGAACTTTTCCGCCCGAATTCAATTTAAGGCGCGACAACAACGCCAAACAAATTCAAGCTCAAGCCCAAAGCGACGGAGAAGTCGAACTCAAATCTGGAGGGGAGAATGAACTTTTCGCTGACTTGCCAGGGTAAAGTTTTATGGCAAAAGCGTTGCCCTCCGCCCTCGAGGTTCGTAAATTACGTTACGTATACGCAACGTTGGCAAACACATAAAGTATTCGCCTTATGAATATAGAAAGAAGTAAACGCAGTAAATTAGGCGAAAAATTCAATAATTTTCCCAACCAAATGGGGACAGCAAACACGGAGGGGCGTGTAAACGATCCAAGTGTTTGGGGCTTGTGCCCCTGAGTGGCAAACTGAAGAGGGTAAACACTCTGAAGGATGTCGATAGCAGCGAAATGATGTTAGGAGAAACACATTAAGAGTGGACTATTATGGCTGTAATGGACACCGAGTTTGTTTTAAGATATTTAATGTTGTTTTTGAAACGATAACTTTAAGGTAAAGTAACGATATTAAACATTTAACTTTTAAAGCCAACAAACTTGTAGTTAGATTTTAATTAATCCTTAAACTTCTTAACTATCAATTCCGTGCGGTTAACCGCTTAATCTTTATCACAGCGTTTTTGCAGATGCAATATTCAGCAGGCAACTGGCCACTAAGTCGCCACAACTTTTGGCCTCCTGCCAGCCGTAATTGGTCTGGCTATCATGAAAGCAGCAAGCGGGCAACACCCCAAACTAAATTACACAATTAATAAGCGCAGCCAACAAACCAAAGCAGAACACCAGGAAACCGAGACAAACAACAACAGCACAAAATAACCACAGCATTTAAGCCAAAAATCTGCACTTAAGGAGAGGGCCAAACGAGGGAAAAAGGGGTGGGGTAGCCCCAAAGAAGTCCAAAGAAGTGAATGCGTGGGAAAGTAAGCATGTTTCGCTGCTGTTGGCCAAACGCGAGTCCTATCCGAAAAGCGACTCAAAAATTAATCAGGCGAACATAATGCAGCGGGCCAGATGAGGCAAAGGAATGCGATAAAAACGAAATGCGAGTCTTCAATGTATCGCCGGGCATATATAGATAATGAAATACGAGGCTCCCTGAAATACCAAAAGCAACCGCATCCGAACAAACCACTGCGCTCCTCAGACCCGGAATAAAGTTTTCACCCGCCTCATCCCGCCGAACCCTTCTTGGCCAGTATTTTCGTCCTGGCCCGAGGGCAGACAGGCCAAAATAATGGAGCCAATGGCCATGGAACAGAACAACAGCAACTACAGTAAAAGCGCCCAAAAATGGTTAACAAAGCAAAACATAAACAAAATTCCCAGCGAATTCGTAATACCCTGAAGCAATGACAAGGCAATAACGAAAGTTGAAGGGTAAATAACTAGAGCGTTAAAGATAATACACCTATCCTCTAATATCCTTACACTAAAGGTAATCTGATTAAAAGGTTTTTATGGTAGGCCATGCATTTATGATTTATGGATTGTTGTTTAAATACTAATTTAAAGGTAATTTTGCTACCTACCAAACTCTTTTTACGGTATGTGACCTCAAGAAGAATAGAAAATATTAACTTAACAGTCCATGTTTAAAAGATTCACTCCTCTTGGCCAAATAGTTCAAGTACTGCTCGGCGAAAGAGTAGCTGCAAACAAATAAAGTGAGCAGAGACCACGAAGACAAGGACGACAAGGAAAAAGCTCATAACCGAGGTCCTGGTGCTTGGCATTTTTGGGCAGCAGCTGCCAGACAATGCCACGCCCCCCGCCTAAGCACATATGTGGGTGGGTCGGAAAACTGAAGTCCGGAAAATATGATGGTGGGGGGTGGGGGAAAAATGCGGGGCGAGCCGAGTGCAATGGCTTCCCCGAGGGCGCGTGGAGAGTAGGGAGAAAAGATATGGCCAGAGACAAGTTCCCGACTTTCTTATCTGGAAGGGGGTAGCGTTTTTTCCTCCCCCCGGCTACATCGTTTGTTTTTCCCAGCGCATGAAACTGCAAACATTTTCCCCGAGTCATCTCAAAAGTGGAAAGTGAGCAAAAAATAAAATAATAAAACGGAAATCCTTTGCTTCTCAGCCAATAGTCATTAGATTTGTGCAAATACTTTGCAGACTCCCCTCTGCGCTTTTCGTTCGACTAATGATGGCTCCCCATTACCTCCCCCCCACCAATTCCAAAAGTAATTCCACTGCTTACGCAATTTTTCATTTCGCGCTCGCTGCGCAAATAAATCAGAAAATTCCCAAATTCTTTTTTTTTACGAGCCACCAACATTTTCCCATTGACTTTTGGCTTGTTCTTCTTGCTTCCATGGGGAAGTTAGTGCATTGGGCGTGACCTGCAATGCTAAGGCAAATAAATCGTTCAAGTTTCGGTTTCAATTCCCATCGAATGTAATCAATGCCGAGCACTTCACATCTCAAATATGTTTGCCATTACCCAACGTATTTCGGGTGAGTTTAGGTGGACTTTGACTGAAAACTTGCTCTTTTCAAGCCAAAAGCACTGGCTTAAAATTCAATAAGCAACTTTAAAGCGAAGTGGCAGAGACTAAGCTTACAAGGCATTATAAAAAATTCACTAACAGATAGCCATTTCAAGGCATTTTTAGAATGCATAAATACTTTTCATGCGTATACTAAAACGAGGAGTTCAAGGAAAAATAATTTTGAAAATATGTATGTATTTTTTAGTCGCTACAATTTGAAGAAGCTTGTGATGTGTTTTAGACGAGTGTTCCTCTTAAATGGCATAAGCATTTTACATCTATCCTGAAGACAAAAAACATTACATTTCGTACAAAATTATTGCCACTTCTCGGCTTCAATTCGATTTCCATGCCAGCACAGTTCCATGCTCGACATTCTTCTGCCGGCTCAGTGAATAATCCTGTTAACATGGTATTCATCCCCACTGCAATATCCCGCATTTGGAATTCAATAATTTCCATTTGCTTGCTACATAGCTGCTCTGTTTGGCAAACCCCCCTCAATTAGCTGCCCTCCACCCGTTGAGTTGCACGAAATGTG